GTCAAATATTATAGAGATGAAACATGTTTACCCTAAGGGATGATTACATTCTCAGGGCATGATGTGACAAGCTCATATACATTTGTTCAAGGGAACTCTTATATAATGTTCTTCGAAAGGCAATTTCAAAGAAATTATTTTATGGGGGTAAACGGTAATGCTGCTGCTCTGGGTCTCTGTGAAAGACCCTTAACCAATGATTGCTCTATGGGCGCCCCACGATGGCAGCCCACTGCTCCCCAAGCGGATGGGCTAAATGCAGAGGTAAATTTCTCTTTGTAGGTCCCTTTTGCATATTTAATTTTGCCCCCTTGAAAGTGTAGAGTGAAACACCAGACAATGCATTTTTTAGCCTTTCTTCAAAATGAAATATCTTCACCTGTATGGGACACATTTATGAATTCCATCCAAAAATCAGAAGAATGATGTTCAAATATTCACCTGAGTTGCACGATGTGTAGAAAGTAACCATAGGTCTTCAGTCAATGGATCCAATTGGACACGATCTTTACATCCATTAGACGCCTGATGTTTGGTGGATTATTTGTTTATAATGAACAAAATGATACCCCTTTAAGAAGGCATTTCTGTAAATCAAACAAACTTTGAAAAAAAACAACTTTATTTCTAGGTCCTAAGGTGACAACACATTAAACATTCCAAGATGGATGAATTAGCCAGTTTTTAAGGCATCCAAACTGCAGCCTCAGATGCAAATTTCAAGCACAAACTGATGGAATTTTGAAGATTGAATAAAGCCACAGCATTACCTCCTAAAATCCAACTGCATTACATCAAATAAAACTAATACATAAAGAATCTTTTAACTATGTTTTTTTCACTTAGTCAAAATTTGACATAAACACTTACTGTAGTTGCTAGCCAACTTTTCACAGTTATACAAATACTGTACAAGCTTTAACATCTAAAGACTGAAATCTGTGGCCCTACTTTACATCATTGTTCAAGCTTAGTCGGATTGCATTGAGAACATAAGAGAGGAGGAATTTTCAAGTTTTGGCAACAGTTGTTGTTTTGATTTAGACTTGGACCTTAACTGGGCCATTCTTAGTTATGACTATGGTTATATCTAAATCATTGCAATGTTGCTCTGGATTTTTGCCCAGGTTTGTTTTACTTCTGAACAGTGAACTTTATCCCAATTAGTCTTTTACAGCCTCTAAGATTATTTACTCCAGCGTTTAGCTCCTCTCCTCTTCCCATGATGTTAACAGCTATGGAAGCTGTTAATTGTTAATAACAGTGGTGGTAACAATTATTTTACCACCACCATGTTTCACGCTGGGGTTGATGCTCTCATGGCACCATGAAAGCATTCGACATGTAGGCTCAAAGTTAAAATTTTGGTCTCATCTGACCAGAACATTCTCTTCTACATGTCCCCAACATGTTTTTTTTAGTAAGCTTTAAATGGGATTTTTCTTTCAGTAATGGCTTTCTTTTTGCCACTCTTATTTAAAGGAAATATTTGTGGAGTGCACTATTAACGGTCATTGTGTAGACGAACTCTCCTGCCTAGCTGTGAATCTCTCCAAAGGTAAAAGGACTACTTTAGTTTAGGTGGGTTGCCATGTGTTATAGTTTCCAAACTCTTTTCTAGTGTTGCAGAATTAAGTAGAATGTGCAAAGTTTGGAAAATTGTTACGTAATGTTGAAAATATGTTGAGGGTCTTGGAAATAAAGCAATAATACCTCCATATGAGTGAAATATGTTATAAACTTAGCTTTATTGTGTAGGACATTAGGTAGTATTTTGGTGAATTTTGACAATAATCATGCCAAAATTAAACCTCTGTTTCCAGGTGATGAATTGCTTTATATAGCTCTGGAGTAGAAACTGGCTGTCTCTTCATTCTGATCTTTTTTGTTTGTTTTTTATTTATTTGACAGCAATGTAATCATTAAAATCTAGAAAAAACTCTACCATTGTTGCTAAACATAGAGTGTCTGTAATACAGGCAGGAATTTTTCTTGAAAAAAAAAAATATTAAATTACAACACAAAGTTCGATATAGCCAACACATAAAAGTCCCATCAAGACAAAAATAGTTTGTCATCTTTTTAAATTTCCAAATAACAAATATTTTGATTATATATTTTTTTCTTTGGAAAAACCAAACCAGTATGAAAAGGTTTTTAGGATTAATATTAACAGTATGACATGTTTTATCTATTTCTCTTCTCTCTGTCTCATTAGTTTCTCGCTTATTGAGGTTTGCTTACTCTGATTCCTACAAGGCAATCTTTCTAAATATGCATTATCTCTGTTAAGTGAACTGTGACACTAAAGAAAAGATATAAAAAAAGGAATTTTATCCAGAGCAAGGACAACCACACGGATTAAGGATATTTCTTAATATTAGTCAACTTGTTCTGACATGCAGCAAGTTGTAACAAAAAAAAGAAAAACAGGAAAACTGCCACCAGCTCATGGGTGTGTTTAGAATATTTTTTCTTACCCAAAGGCCCCCTCTCAGTCAAAAGTATTGTTGATTGTCCAAAAGTGAAACCTACAATAACTGGTTATAAATTTAAAGCTATTTTACTTGATCTTTTCTTAATTCTTTGGCATTTTCAATTGCAAATAGAACAACATAAATATGTTGCCTGGAAGTTAGCAGGGGATCAAAATACCAAATAAAATCATATTATAAACCTGCATTTATAATTTTGTTTTAGTTTTAGTTTGTTTTCATTAAAACACCCAAGCTGCTTTGATGAGCTCTGATAGCTCAGAGTGAAAAACAGCTTATTGCAGCCTGTTCTCTACATCCAGTCTGTTCCTTTGCTTGGTTTGGATTTTTGCCAAAGCTGAAGGTGAACTCTAACATATAATATAAATGTACTTTTTTGTTGAATAAAAGTTTGTTTAATTTTTCAATTGGGTCATCAGAGAGCATTAATCCCAGCCCTATTTTATTTTACTACCTATGAAATAAAATATTTTCATGTACCCCTTGCAATGCACTTGCGGACCACTAGGGGTACGAATACCCTCCCGGTTGGGAATCACTGCACTAGACTGTAATTTTCCCCAACAGAGCCACATTTATATGCACACACATTCACATCTAAGGGAATATAGACACTAATTAAACTAACAGTCATTTTTTAGACTGCTTGTTTAAACTAAAGTACTTGTAGCGGACTCACACACACACACACACAGAACATGCAAACTTATTGCCAAGACCATAGTTTGGGGAATATCCCACCGTTGAAAACCAGAACTATAAAATTTGAAATCCAGAGACAGACAATCCATTATGTAATTTAAAGCTGTAGTGCAATATAATAAATCATAAAATGAATAATTATTTACTACTTTCCAAACAGAACAAAGGCCTATTTGGTGACTCTGTGATGCTAAATCATAGAATGGATTTTCCAACTCAACAAAAGCTTCAGAGGGTTCAACATTTAATAGTTTATTTAATTGAAGAGTCATGATTGTAACTTTGTTACCGTTAATGCAGTTTGTTTTATTTATTTATTTTTTTACACAATTCTTTTGTATAGTATTTTAATTTCTCTTATACGGTAATATTTTATTCAAAAAATGAATTGTTCCAATGCTTTATTGTTTTATCATTATTTCCTATGATATGAAATAAAATCATCATACCCTGCTATCCTTTTTTATGTGACAGAGTTTCCTGCCTACTGGCCAATTTCAGTCACAATGTGAATGCCCTTGTCTGTTCCTGTTCTTGCCTTAACTTGTTCAGCAACAGCAGTGCTTTCTGGCTGAGATCATGCCTCTGATATTTAAGCCCTCTACCCCTTGCCATCTCAGACACAGCCAAACAACCAATTTCAAATGTTTCAACCAATGTAATTAATCAAAGATTAGGGAATTTAAAATGTAACGTATGCTAATTCTCATAAAAAGTCAGCAAAATAGAAAAAAAATTCAAGCTTCGTTTAAAGCTGAGTATACATTTTCATCTTGATCAATAAGCTCCAATGTACACCCACATTTTCTGTCAATGTTGCGCAAAATACAATATAATCCCTGTTGAACTGAAATGCAAAATAGGGACAAGAACATTTAGGGCAACTTACAGTTTTTTTAAGACTATTTCCGCCATCTTCCATTAACATACTGACCTGAGAACCCTTGTCAAAATCTGCCAGATGCAATCTCTTTCAACCTTTCTACCTCACTACTCTGCTGATTTAGTAATCGCACAAATAAGATTATAACTTTGCATAAAAATACATTACACTAATTTAATAAGCTAAAACAAGTTATTTAGTTTTAAATAAGTAACTGTTTAAAGATGCTGGGGAAATGTGTATATTGTCATGTCTAAAAACCTAGAAGTTGTGATTGAATGATAAGGTGAGACGTCTGTTGTACCATTAGGAACCAATGTCTTCTCTTTATGGTAAAATATCAAATCTGCCTCTCAAAAGGTTTTCTTACCATTTCCTCCCTAATATTCATTGTCACCATCTATATATAAAAACATTGCAATGCCATTTGTTTATTTAAACAAGCTTTATTATTTATTTTTTTATATTGCTGTGGTAGATGTGTTTGCTCTATCCATGCTCCGGTGTTGCTAACAGAAATCCATCCCTAGCTTCACAGTTCTCCTTCAGGTCCCTTAATTACCAACTCCACACTTCAGGAATTTTGTTCTCAGCTTGTCAGGATCTGAAGCCTTGGAAAGTAATGTTACCCGACACAGATTTTCCAGTCTACTTGCCGCTCCCACTGTGAAACTAAAGCAGCAACACAAAAGCAACATTGATTAAAAGAATTGCCCTCTGTTAACCTCATGCAGAAAGACCGCTCACGCTGTGCTGATAATAGATATTGGCATACTGTGTTGAAAAGCTCTCAGGTCTTAGGTACTTCTTTACTGTTTGTTTTTTGGGGTGGTGCATAACATTCATGATAGGTGACATTTAAACAAAGTTACCATACCATAAATCTCCAAACTTAGAAGTACTGCTTTCTCTCTTCACAGTACAATGGATAACGCCCATGGCCCAGAGGTCAAGTTTAGACTAGATGAGGGAACTGAGCAACCCACGGCCCTGAGAGGACAGTGGTCCAGCAAAATAGAGTTTCTCTTGGCTGTTGCAGGACAGATTATAGGGCTGGGAAATGTGTGGCGGTTTCCTTACCTTTGCTACAAAAATGGAGGAGGTGAGTGCATTTGTAAATTAAAAATTATTTATGAGAATGATAAACTATACACCATGTGAAAATCAATGTCAGAGGAAAAATGTATTAACATTTATAGATAATATTTAGAAGCTGCCTCAAGTGGAAAACTAAGATCAAAAATGCTTACCTGTTTAAACAATTTTAACAATTTGTTTTGTTTTCCAGGGGTATTCTTTATCCCGTACATACTTTTTCTTTTCTCCTGTGGCATCCCCTTGTTTTTGCTGGAAACATCCATTGGCCAGTACACAAAGCAGGGATCAATCACCTGTTGGAAGAAAATTTGCCCACTTTTTGAGGGTAAAATTATTAAACTTCGCTTAATTTACAGAGTTCTTTTATTTGTGACTTTTTCGTCTGTGCAATGATTATGTACAATGTAAGGATATTCTGTTCTATATATATTTTCTGATTTTTATCTGTATTTTCCTACTTTTTATTTTGCTACTCAGCATATTCAAATATAATGAGATATTATTCCTCAGAAAGCTTTTAACCAGTTTGTCAATGGTATGGTTGAATTGTCTCTATAAGTGCCTTGGGATGATGACTTGTGAATTGGTGCTTCATGAGTAAAGTTAGTTGAATTCAATTGTTTATCCATATTCTATAAAATATTTTGACTTAGAACAAGTAAACATAAGCAAACTAACCATGAGAATTATAATATAAATAAAATATAAATAAAGTATGTATTTATTTTGCAATTTCTTATGAGTTCAAATACAAATCTTTCCAATGGAACACTTAATTGGGAATTTTAAATAGCAACAAAAACTGAAGAAAACAAAAAATATTTATTTATAATAGGATACCTTGTCAGTTGTTTTTCACACTGTCGATGCCTAATGATGCTTTTAGCTTATCTTACAAATTTGACAATGCTTGGACACGTTGCTGCATCATATTTGAGAGCTGACAGACAAAGACAAAATTTGGCAAAAAATACTGCATATTATATAATAAATAGTCAATTTTAAACATTAAGCCTGAAATTTGGTTTCAATCTTAAGATTCAAACTAATTTTATCTGTTCAGTAAACCCACTATATTATCTTTACAGATCTGTAATGTTTTCTTCTTACTTTTTCAGGGATGGGTTATGGCTGTCAAGTGGTTGTTTTGTACTCCAGTATCTATTACATAGTGATACTAGCCTGGGCATTCCTGTATCTCTTCTCTTCTTTCAACTCTGAACTTCCATGGGCTACCTGCCGAAACAGCTGGAACACAGGTAGGTCTACAGCATGTCATCCAGGAAGAAGGAACAAAGAACAACACTAGATGCTTTATTATGAAGAGTTTTTCTCTAACTTGTGGCCTACAGCTAAACTATGCTGATAGACAGAATAATACTTACCTATTAGAGTTAGATGCAAGAGCATCTTTCATTTGGGGAGGGATTGTCGTTGAATCAATAGATATAAAACTTGACTGATACGGTTTAATTGTCTCTGTAAAGTGCCTTGACATGACAGATGTTGTCAATTGGCGCTATATAAATAAACTGAACTGAATTGAACTTAAATGGAATTTTTAGGCCTCTAATGATTTATGTAAAGGACGTTGATTTGGAAAGGCAGGAGTTTTCATGTTGCTCCTCTGTTTGAATTCCTTGTGATGGACTTGCAACCTGTCCAGGGTGTACCCTACCACAAACCCCTTCAGGTGCAGCACTGGGAGCAGACCACTACCCTTTATACTTTATATCTGGGGCTCTCATTGCCTTGGTCTGTCCTGGGCCCTGCGGGGTGAGTCTTGGCCCGCTCACACCTGCTATTGAGCATACTTACAGTATCTTATAAAGAATCTTTGAACTCTTCAGACATGAGCATGCTCATGCATAAATACCACAAGTGTTTGGTTCCAGGTGTTCACGGATACACACTAATACTATATACCGTACTAAGCTGCAGATAGCATACAGGTATAGCATTTACAGATATATACAACCCTGTATATGTTTTACTTTGAATGCCATTTGTTTTGTTTTTGCGGGCGCTTTGTTATCTGTTTTCTTTCCCTCTCATCTCACAGAAGATATAAAAGCAGGCTTTTAAGAGTGTACATCTTCTGCTTAGCTTTTTTTTGCTGTTTTGTTTTCTCTCTTTTCTATCCTCTCTACTCACTCTATCTCTTTCTCTCTCAATTCATTCTTATCCCCTTTCCCCATTGTATACTATTTAATTCCCTAAATCATGTTCAGTAAATATTCATATATAGGTACCAAGCAGAAACAACAACCATAATGGAGAGAGCTGCACTAACCAATCTAGAGCCTAATCCCAGGCAGCCATCCCCCCCATATTATATTTTTCCACTGTCAATTTTGTGATGATTGTAAATTTTTTTCATTTGCAGTGTTTTTCTGTTGCATTTCTTTTTTTTAACTTTAATCTTATGTTTTGTATTTGGCATCATTCATGGGTCTCTACGAATGAATGATATACATTAGATATAAATTACATTAATAGTTATCCATAAGTTTAATAGCTTGTTGTTTTTTTGACATTTACTGGAACATAAATTTTTTCATTAATTCTGTATTTTTCAGAAAACTGTGTGGAGTTTGATCAAAAATCGGATTACTTCAACATGACTATTCCTGAAAATGCAACTTCACCAGTGAGAGAGTTTTGGGAGTGAGTATAGAAAAAGGGTACTGTCTAAGTTCTATGTGCAGAACTTGATTAAATGACAGATGTGATTTATTTGCAGGAGGCGAGTTTTAAACATCACAGGCAGCATTGAAGAATTGGGCAGTATTAGATGGGAGTTGGCTCTCTGTCTGCTATTGTCTTGGATCATCTGTTACTTCTGTGTGTGGAAAGGAGTCAAGTCTACGGGAAAGGTAGGATATTTTATTATATTATACATAGAAAGACATTAGTATTTTAGATTATAACATTTTAATACTGTAAGTGTTAAAATCTAAATGTGGGGTTGTTTATTAATTTTTATATCTTTTGACTCCAAAAAGAGCAGAGTAAAATCGACTGTTCAAACACCCAAAAAATGTCTTCCTCAGACCTACTGTACAGTACTTACAACAATCACTCCCCTCACTCATACTCACTGTTTTCCTCCTCTATGTGGTTTATGGCAAACAGCACTTACTGAGCCGTGTTGCAAAAAAAAAAAGTACAGTAAAAGAAATGTGTTGAAACTTTAAGGTATTTTCTTCCTAATATGAAGGGGGAAAAAACATTTTTAGGCATGGAAATAACTACTTGGCCTTAAAGAAATCCTCTCTTCTTTTTTTTCCACAGGTGGTTTACTTTACTGCTACTTTTCCTTATTTGATGCTTGCTGTGTTGCTCATCCGGGGAATCACATTACCTGGAGCCTCTGATGGCATAAAGTTCTACCTTTATCCAGATCCATCTCGCCTTGCCGATCCACAGGTAATGATCATTTACTCCCTTTTCTCCAAATGTCTTCTTCATGAGTCTCTAGAGTAGTTTTAATACTTTTGGACAAATAATCATATAAATACATCAAGCTGATAAGGGCAATCTGTTCTACAGGGCTTATATGTCATGAATGAATCTGCTTGTTGTTATATGTTGTATGACTTAAGTTTGATTATGGTTGTCCAGATCTGTAACTTTCTTACTAATAACTTAGTGGGGCTGTAAAACTTGCACAACTACTAACTCTCCTTAAATCCTTGTAATATTTTTTCCATACTACAGCCACAGTTGTTCATTTGAGGGTTTAAATGAACATGCCTGCCTTTTAGAAGAATAGAAATTGGGCTAGATCTGTATGTAGACTTACAACATAAAATGATTAGTTTTATGTGTTCATTTAAAAGTAGAAATGATGAGATCTCTTGAGAAAAATTTTGTCAACATGGTTTTCTTAAACCCTTAGTAGGCTGTTACTTTGTTTTTGGGAGAATTATAGCTTCCACAATTGTAATGTTTAAAATATTTTTGACTTCTATTTTTTTTTTTTTTATTTGTTGCTGTAAGCACATATTGTTTTAATATTAAATTCCAAGATGAATACATATCAAATTATCAGCATGTTAATGAAGTGAAATGAAAATGGTTACGCGTGACAATTTGTGGCTTCATAACAATCAGTTAACTCTAGTTTGCCACGCAAATATTACCCCTCCTGCCAACCCTTTGAAAAACTTTCTATCCCTGCATGTCAAATAAGTAATGGAATTTACATTCACAAATTCACAACATTCATAAATCATCTCTGCACTGTAAACTTGCAATAAAGGTTGAATGTAATCCCCTGCATTTTGCATTTTATCTGCAGGTATGGATGGATGCCGGGACGCAAATATTTTATTCCTATGCAATCTGTATCGGTTGTCTAGTTGCACTGGGCAGTTATAATAAGTACAACAATAACTGCTACAAGTAAGTTCAGTAGGTTTGATACAATGTTCACCATTTGGTTTTTAAAAAGAAAATAAAAATTACAATAAATTAAGCTTTATGATACCTCATTGCTAAACTTTTGTAGACTTGAAGTAAAATTTTATAGAAAAAAGAAACTTCAGCAGACGAAAATAATTTGAATTAATATGTTTCTTTATTTTTACAGGGATTGTGTGTATTTGTGCCTGTTGAACAGTGGAACCAGTTTCGTCGCTGGTTTCGCCATCTTTTCTGCACTTGGATTCATGGCCTATGAGCAGAACACAGACATATCAAAAGTGGCGGAATCAGGTAAGTTCAAAAAAATTTTAAAATTCTGTTCAATTCATTCATATTTAAACAGTCATGTGTCGGAATGTCTTGTGGCATAATTTGATGAAATACTCAGTTTTTTTGTTGGTGAAGAAATGTTCCCCCTTTTCTTAATCCAGGACCTGGTTTGGCGTTTATCGCCTATCCTCGAGCCGTGGCCATGATGCCTTTTCCTCAGCTTTGGGCAGTATTTTTTTTCATAATGATTATTCTTCTGGGACTGGATAGTGAGGTAAATAGTTATTTAGCATTTTTTGTGATTGAAATTAATAATAGAAATATATTTGTTATGAAAATATTAAAGTAGTCACTTTTTCATTACTTTTTACATCATCTGGTGTAAAAGAACACACAAAATTTTAATACTGAATTTTGTGTGTTCATTAATCTAGTAGAATTAACATAGTTTGCAGCTTGCTTTTTGACTCAGAGATCTGTGCTTTAGTTTGTAGGTCTTGAAGCTCTCACAACGGCAATATCTGACCTGTATCCCTCCTTCTTCCTAATCGGCCATCGACGTAAACTTCTGCTTCTAGGCCTCTGTGCTGTCAGCTTCTTCATTGGTCTTATCATGGTGACGGAAGTAAGGTCAACTCATTTGTTAAGTGCATATGTTCATATTGCATTATTGTAAAATATCTAATCTTGTGCACAGGGTGGACTATACATCTTCCAGGTGTTTGACTACTATGCCTGCAGTGGAATGACTTTGCTCCTGTTTGCTATCCTGCAGTCTGTGGGCATTGGATGGGTGTATGGTGAGTTCAAGATCAGGAGGAACTGTGCATGAATTCTGTGCTTGATCTAACTTTACACTCATTTTCTTTGTTTTTATCTTCTTGCAGGCGCTGAGCGCTTTTACGATAACATCGAGGACATGATCGGATACAGACCGTTTCCCCTCATTATGTACTGTCTGAAATACGTCACTCCAGTGATTTGCATGGTGGGTTGTAATTAAGCTCATCTGCTTACCTTTATAGTATGCAATTCATTAGTATCAAAATGGTTATGCTCCCCGTTTAGGCTTTAATCCTGCTTTAAATCTGACCTGAAATATGTTGTTTTGTTTCTGTTTCCACTGAAGAGGTTGACACATTATTTCTATATAGCAATGAGCTTTATTATTTAGTTAGTCTTAAGAATACACAAACCACACTAAATGTTGCAGTATTGTTTTGGAATTTTTGTTTAGTTGTAAATACAGTTAAAATTACAGATTTTTTAGGGAAGAAAAAATTAAAATAGCAACATCACTTCAAGCTAAATTATGGGTTTATATGCCAGAAGTCATGCCTTTCGTTGATTTGGAAAATTCATTGTATGATTTAGCGTCCCTGTATCGGACTGTGAACTAACCTATGCTGGCCCAATTTTATAGGTCTTCAAAAAATCTTGTATACAAAATTCCTCTCATCTTTTGGCATGCTAACGCTGTGCAAGCACACTTCTATTATGTATCAGTTAGCTTTGCTTTCAGCTAGCTATAGGTCTTACTCTATAGTTTGTTAATGACTAAGAGTCACAAGAACCGGACTTAGAAGTGTATGAGAAGAAGAGAAGGGTCTCAGAATAAATTAACATAGACTAGAGCAGTGGTCTCCAACCCTGGTCCTCAAGATCTACTGTCCTACAGATTTTAGATGCATCCCTGCTTCAACACAGTTGAATCAAATGATGATTACCTTTTCAAGCCATTCATTTAATTAAGCTCTGTTGAAGCAGGGATGCATCTAAAATCTGTAGGACAGTAGATCTTGAGGACCAGGGTTGGAGACCACTGGACTAGAGTATATTTGGGATTTCTTGGACAGACAGAGAGACAGAAAAACAGACAGACAAAAATTAGTTTAGTTGTCATTTATGTTTATTTTTATTTATCTGTAATGACATAGAAAACTCCTATCTGACTATAGAGACACATAACCTCCTTTTCTACCCCACAATACACAAAAACTAGTTTTTGTGTATTTATATACAAACAATTCAATTGTAAAATTAGTTAGGAAAATCCCCTTGAGAGTGTCACTGCTGCCACCCCTTTAGAGGGGAACCGCTTGTAAATTTACACCACATGGGATCATTTGGCAGGGATGGCCAAAGGGGGGGCCGTGGGGCCATGGCCACCCTTAGCCAAAAACCCAGGACACATCGCCAGTCTGTCACAGGGCAATACAGAAGCATACAACCATGCACACACTCACACCTAAGGACAATTTATAGATGCTAATTAACCTAAGAGTCATATTTTGGGCTGTGGGCTGTACCCAGAGGAAACCCACACATGAACAGGGGGAACATGCAAACCAGGATTCAAACCCAGAACCTTCTTACTTCAAGGCAACAGTGCTAACTACTGCTCAACCATGCAACCCCTCCACTTATGAATTTCAAAGTGAAGAAAATAGCACAATTATGCAAGATGGAAATACAGCACAAAGAAATGTTAATGTTCTGGTCCAAAAAGCACAATGTGAAAGCACACTGAACCAACTTAAAGAAAAAACTAACAAGCAATGATCATTTTTGGTGCTGATCAAACATATGAACCAAAGGATTTACCTAGTGCGAAAACACTTTAAAATCAATCACAACCATTTAATTTTAGTCAAAGTATACAACATAATGAAGATCTATTAAATAACAAAAGCTCCTGCTCATAATCTTTTTCCCATTCTTATTTTCAGGGGACTTTTATTTTTTCCTTGGTTAAGTACACCCCTCTGAAGTTTAACAATACAATAGAGTACCCATGGTGGGGTTATGCTCTGGGCTGGTGGTTCACACTCTCTTCAACCCTCATAGTTCCCATCTGGATGCTGTACAATCTGGTAAAAACTCCTGGTACCCTACGAGAGGTAAGCATTTTCATATCTGCACAGAATAAAAACATTTCTAATCAACTTCTGTTAAAACGTCTGTGCTTCTGTTGCAGAGGATCTCTATCCTGTGCACTCCAGCTGAAGACCTTCCTTTAACCAAGTCAGAAAAAAAAGCTTTGGAACTTCTCAACTTGCCCCAGTCTATGAGTAACGTGGAGTGACAAGGACAATCAGTCCCATAGGATGAGACATACTTCAGGTTCGCTAAACCTGATCCCTTCGTGCCATCGTTAAGATGTTTGAACTCTAAAGTCAGATCCTAAAACAGCCCTTAATCAAAATGCACAGAAAACATTTAAATTCCCCAAATATTTTCCTATATTTACTTTTTTTTGATAATATAAAATATCATTATTCAACAACCAATGCACTTTGGATGTGTTACTTGTTGGCCAATTAAGCACTACAGAGTTTAATAGTCAGTATGAAATATTTTAGTTTCTTCGTCGTCTTTGTTTTTTTTAACTTACTATTAAAAACAAAATAAGTGTAAAAGTGTTTTCTTCTATGGCAAAAGAACTTTTGAACAAATTGACACTTAAAATCCTGTTACATAAAATTTAAATGTTTTAATCCTCCATCAGCATGCACAGGATTTATTGTACATGGGTTTGTTTTTTTAGGCAAAACAGACAGCAATATCAATATATAACAAATTTCCTACAGCTATAAAATCAAAGTCACAAATTTTGATTATAATTTGGATGAATTGTATTCTGTTAATATCTACTTTTATTCCCCCTCAAAACAGCAAAATGATGCACAGCTGCTAATTATATACAACACTGGCAGATTTATCTTAAACATAATGGTTTTATTAGCCTAACTTGAATATCACAGAAAATATAAAGAGGGTTTAATTTCTGTAAATCCAATGAAGACTTTTCCAATGATTGCTGAATTATTATCCAGTAATAGATAGATAAATCAAAAGTGTTTTTCATTTTAAATTGTTTATTGTTTATTGTTTCTGATACAGACTCTAGTCTCATCAGTCCTAAATCTGCCAGTGGTCTGAGTAATTCTGAATTTATTTGTAAGTTAAGGTCAAGGCTTGGATTTAGGCAAAAGCTTCATATGCTGGATTTTTGAAAAGTCTGTCCCCTAATCCAATTTAAAATAGCAATTTAACCTACAACATATAAGATTTTCACATAAAAATTTGTGCATCTTTTTTTTCTCTTTCCATGCCTGTAGGTGTTGTATTCTCCATTAAGGATTTTATGTGTTCTTTAATAAGGTTTTAAATCCTATTTTCATATTTTCTGTTTTTGTCAGTATAAAAAGGGAGAAATATTAATGTTGACTTTTCCTATGGTGTGATTCAGTTGTTTATACTCAAGTGGCCTGAATGATGCTGCAGATGTAACCTTTTCAGGCACTAATCATTTCTTAACGTTTCCACAAAGAGTTATGTGTGACCAGTCAACCAGATTTTAGCCACGCTATGCAAGCCCAGATTCTCCGGCTTGTTTGTTTAACTGGGTGGAATGTGGTATGCTAAGAGACAAAGATCTCTGGATTTGAGGGGGGTGTTGTAGAGTTAGAGTAACCAAAAAGTATAGAAAACTTCTCTGTTTGAAATTGTATCCACAAAATATATAAGTAATAAGTTCTAAGTAATAAGATAATAAGTTCTTTTTTTTAATCTAATATTATGGATAAATATGCCAGAAAAGACCATAAAGACCAAATTTGTCTCAGTTTAGATACATCTTTGGGTCCACTACATATTTTAAGGTGAAAATAATGGACTTTGAAATACAAATTCACTTATTTCCACTCTCTCCCCACCATTATATATTACTTGTTACAAATGCTTTAACCTAAAATTGTGAATTAACTTAACACATTGCAGAGTTTGTGAACATCTAGTTAAACAATGTATTTGTGATGTCAACTTTTTTGAGTTTGTCGGATTTTATTCTGTGTGGGACAGCATGTTTGATGCCCATTAGGGCTTTTATGGGATGTTCAGATAGGATTAAACTGTTATTTTCTGAAAAATTATAAATATAGCTGACTGGATTTTCTTAAAGATTTTCGGGATGCATAATTGCTTTTTATCATAAGAGACAAATTTGTGTTTATTTCAGGTATTTATATTGAATTATATATTAAATACAATGCCACAAAGTGTCCATAAGTTTTGACCTATAGAAATGGAATAAGATGTAAAGACATTAATAGCAGACCTAATGATAGGTTATTTCCTTAATCTTCAAAAATGAGCAACATTTTAAGAGCTTTTAAGATCATTAACTACCTAGTGTTTTTTACTGATGCTGCTTTAAAACACAATTTACAATGCAACAAAAAAATGAATGTGATTTTCTTTTTTACCATTCCTGTTAGACAGTGGATGAGTTGTTAACATCATGTTCAATTTTAAACTGAATGTGATGATTTAAAAAAATGTGTTGATCCTCACATTATGAACCACTGTAAGCACATGAAATGTCTTGGTGTGATTTATGCACCTGCCTCTCTAAAATCTGTGTCAGTATTGGTCATTAATGTTTATTTTATGATACTGGGAAACAGGACGAAGGCAAAAAGAGCTAATGCTGTGGTCTAATGTGTGGGTGATTGAACTCATTCATGGATTTGTTTTGCACATTTAAACAATAAAGAATAGGTTAGTTAAAAAAAAAGGTAAATACCTAGATGATAAGCTGACATTTTGCTATTACTGCAAGTTAACAGTAGTAACAATTCAGTGCCTTATATCATGAAATAAAAAATGTGACTGCATTAACAACAGATCATTATTCATGTATAAATGTTTTATTTTCTGACATGTTACTAGTTAGTAATTAACAAGGTCTGATATCTGAAAATGTCAATTAAATAAAAAAGTATTGATTTACACTGGTTCTGGGCTCTCAATGCATTTTTTTGGCACCCTTCCATTAAGAAAAAGGATTCTTGGACTTTCAATTCAGAACAAATAGACTCAGGAACAGTTTGTTTTCCAAAGCTGTGAAGGAGATCGTCCCCTGCGGTCAGACACATCTCATCTCACCTTCACAGGGACACACACACACACACACATCTCTCCTCAGACAGACACAACAAAATCCAATACACACAAAAACACCCCTGCTGATAAGCAAATAAACCATTAGTCCTTTTCGTAGAAGGTTTCAGCACAGCTGCACTTTATGTAAACTTCACATAAGTTCCTTTGCTTTTTTTCTCTAGTTGAGGGGGCTTGTTTTGATTTTGTTTTTTGTTGTTTTTTTTTTTACAGTTTTGTTGGTCTCTTTTCACGATCCTCACTATTCCTTTTCTGCAAATGTTTAATTTATTTTAATATTCTGTGTTTTTTTTATGCATGAGCCAGTGCCAAAAAAAAGATTATTGATTCTATTTTTGTGTTTATTATAACCCTGAAAAAAATAATAACAACTGTTTTTCGGCATCTACTTCATTATGTCCTACCCTGCTTACATGACATAATTGTGTTAAAGTAACTAAATTTGATGAAGTAGATTCCAAACACCAGTCATACTTTTTCTGCAAATGTTTTTGAGGTTCTATTTAATTCCATACATTATAATTATAATGTACTCAAATGTTTTTATGTGAAACACTAATGTCTGAGTCTCCATTTACAAGAAAAAAAAATTAACAGACAACTATCAACAACTTCCTGATCAGGAAGTCACAAAAAAGAAATTGCACTGCCCTCATGTGGTTATAAATAGAAGTTACATTAAAAAAAATTCAGTTTTCTTAATGTCTCTTAATGTTCTTTTCCAAACTTCCATTTGTAAATTATTCAGTGACATTTATGTTTGAACAAATTGTCTAAAAATGATTTTAAACTTTTAATACGTCTTTTATTATAAAAAAAAAAACACACACACACAACTATGGGCTGGCATTAGCTGTTTCTTTAGAGAAATTACTTTGATCTAGTAATGTATATTATATCTTTGCTATGATATGTCCTGCCCCCTTTTGGTTGTAAATATGTGACATGCATCCTCTTTAATACAACTGCAAAAAGACATCAGTTAGAGGAATAAAAAACAACCTTGTTCAAAAAAGTATGTACAGGATTAAAGTAGTATTTTGTTGAAGTACCTTTGACAAAATATAATCATCAACACATTATTGGCATCCCAAAACTAAAAGTCCACAGTATTTACCAAACCCTGTAAAGTTTCTTTAGATTGGTCAAGTTGCATGCAATGTGATACTCTATAATATAGTTATTGCCCACCCCGGCAGGGGTGGTAAATATTTTATTATTTTATTATTTGATCAGATATTATTCGGACTGTCATATATTTTTTATAAACACACGCCCTACTAGCTGTGAGTTTGAACAACAAATGAATTAGTTAATCGAGCCCAAATCATGGTCAAACAGATAATTCTGCACATACATGGAATAAATTAAAATGTCAACCAGCAGGACTTAGCTTTGCTGATTCTGCAGATCAGGGCCATGGGCCCAAGTCTCAATGGTAGTTTCCTCTTCTGATGTAACGGAAGAAATCATGTGTGATGTGGTTTTTACTGTTCTCAGCTCCTTTGGGGGTCAAGGCAGACCTCTGTGGGAGGTGTCTTGTGGAGCAAGTTAGTCTGAGAGGGGGATGCAGAGCAGATAAGAGAGGTCTCACAGCTGTTTTATGAGCAAAACTGCATCCTATTCTCCAATGATCATGTTAAGATGATAAATGAACATTGGTCCTCAATGTCGAAACATCATGGTTTATGGCACAATAATGGTGGATGTTTTTTGTCCAGAGCCCTTTATCTGTGACCTCATAGATATAATAAATGTTTCTGTCCAACACTGGTAGCTTGATTACCTTGCCAAATCATGACATTAGCTAAAAGAAAAAAAATGACTCTTAAAACCCTCTGAGAAAGCTGACATTTCAGGTTAACCCAATTCACTACAATTAATGACATTTGATGACCTAAAGAAGACTAAATATTAAATCAAAATGTGTTTAAACCTTATCAAGGTGGTTGATGTATGTTATCCAGCTTACTGCATTTTAGGACCCTCATCATTGCTCATCCACTTTGGGCATGAAAGAATGAGATCATCGATACAAGCAGCTTAAATTAGGTTTCCACACATCTACCACTCAGGGATGAGGAACCCAGCCATCATTTAAGAACATGGAGAAGAGCTGCTGCTCCTCCAGCTGTAGCTTTTTCATCCCCTACAGATGCCCCCTGGAAGCTTCCCTCAGGTGTTTCAGGCTGATTTCACTGGAAGGAGGACCAGAACAACCTGGTCCTCTCAGCTGACGCCCCAGAGTAGTTCGAGCAGGTGTGGGAAGGAGATGGAAGCTGAGACTGCTGCCCCTGCCACAAAGCTCCACATAAGCAAAAGGCAACAGCAAATAAATAATGAAGTTTTAAAATGATTGATCAAAGTCTCCCTTTTTAA